ACTGTAAATTGTACCAACATAGGTAATTCTATAACTTCATTGATAAGATTGCATAATCTATAAATAAACCACTATAATAGATATCAATAAAAAATATTAAATACAACACATACTCATACAGATTCTGTTGATCCTTTACGCACTCAGTCAGTTCCTCTTCATTCGTAGTCTGATTTTTCCTATCATAGCCAATACCAGAGATTCGCATATGTAACACTTTGATGTGACCTGTAAGCATACACAAGGATAATGGCGGAAATACATCATCCACCAAATTCTGCAATATGCAAAAATGAAAACCAATTAATTGAAAAACAATAGCGATGCTATAGTTGAGTGTAGAATCCTGCCATCTAAAAGGTAACCATGCTGTATACAAAAGACTCCGTTCCTTTTTCAGACACAAGGTTGCGAAAGAGAATACCGTAATTAAGGAGTATAAAGAGAAAAATGCTCGCTTCATAATTGTCATAGTTCTTATGGTTCTCTCAAACTCCTGTTCTTCTTCTCCGTTTCGACGTCTTTTATCAATTTTCTGTAGCAGTACCTCCATTTCGCGCACTTTCTCCAATTTAATTGCATAAAATATGAACTTCAAACTACAAGCAAATGATGTTGAGCATATTGACATCTTCGCTGTGATATCTTCTTCGATTTGGAATAGTCCAAAAAACAGATGAAACGGAAATAATAAAGTTATAAACGTGTTCATAATTACACTATAAGTTAAGTAAATATTTTTCCATTTGATATTTTTTGTATTAACGCCTAAGAGCATCCAACAAAACCAAAGTTCCTTGAAAACAGTTGCACTACTTACGAGACTCATTTTACTAATAGAAAGTTGATTCTTTACTTTAAATGCGTAACAATCCATTGTTGTGCATAATTGTCAGGTGTGAAATTCACAATAATTAAATATAAAAATTAATTATTTAAATATACAGGGTGTTTAGTGGTAACTTACTTCAATCTGGAAGTAGTAGCCCAGTGCCTACTGCTTCTTTTGGTATGCAACCTAAGCTTTTTGGTTAAACTATTTTTGAGCTAGTAGAAGTTTTTTAACTGAGGGCTTTTTTCGAAGTGCGGTTCTTTGATATCGCATTGATCGATAAATATAGAAAATGGATACTTCGAACTAACAATTTGTATCGTTTCTTCATTTAAGAAATCATCTTCTGAAATTAAATCATTTTCTTTTAAAACACCCTGTCTAAATATTTAAATTACGAAAGGTGAAAGGCTAGAAAGTTAATATTTTTAATGAGTTAGGTTGGCATTTCTTAGGTATATATGGTCACGTAGGTTTGTCACACATGTATGTATAGTTATACATTTAATTGTTGCAGTTTACTTCAAGTAATTTAGCTATATGCAATATAAAACCTTTATCTACAGTACCTGAATAGATTAAGGTGGTATTAGTTTCGAAAAGTATCAATAAAGACGTACACTGAAAATGCAGAAAGATAGGAAAATAAAAAGAGGACCTATGACCTCTTTTAATATATAAATCAGGTGAATTCGCGAAAATATGTAAAATTAAAGTGAATTTAAAGAGAAATTAGAGGAAAACTTAAGAACAGATCTTCACGCAATACTTCAATTTGCAAAATAAATAGACAAACTAACTATGAATTTACATAGAAACCTTGTTCCAACTGCTGTCGCTAGAGATCAATAAGAATATGCATGGCTTGTGGTCAACAAAATTAACATAGACAAAGATATCATTATTTATGGCCTATGCTACAACTTATATCACAACAGGTTATGATTTATGTGGGTTTGTATACAAGTGAACTTTGGTATATAAGGCCGCCTCCCGCACCTAACCTAAAATAATACTTAATAATAGCTCTGTGTTCAATACTTATTTTATACGGATAATAAAAAAAACATATTGTTACTTCCTTTTCAATACTTTGGCTTCTGTTCGTCAAAATATTATGAAATGACATTAAAGGTGGATACATCAGTTAACAATATACCTTATAGAATATCGAATAGATGTCAATTTTAAAAAAGTCCAATTTATTTTCGAAACCATTATCTCCATCATTCAACATAATTAAATATTGACAAGAGTTTATGTAATCTGTTTAATTTATTGTATATAATAATCATTTAATTATTAAATTAT